GGCTCACAAGCTAGAAGTCAGCCAATGCTCCATCAGAAAGCACCACAGTTAAATGAACTGTTTTATTTATGTCTGTTGAGATTTAAAAATATCCAATTAATCCTAATTCAAAACACATAAAAAGGAAAATCCAATAAAACTATTCTCATTTGTCAAATTAAGAAAATATACTGTTGTTGCTTTATAAGCACATCATCGTTAGGTATGGAGTGGGAGAAAACTTGAAAATAAAGCTGGCAAGCTACCAACATTCACTAAAAATGCACACTAATGTATTCTGTCTATATGCACATTTCTGCTCTAGTGAATAGTTAACTTTAGTGTCAAAGGATGATTTAATCAGTATAGAAAAAAATTTAAGCTGTTTTGCCCACCCCACCCCCAAAAACTTCTCACATTAAACACAATTAAAATTGCTCACTGAAACAGGAAAAAACTTCTCTACAATGTGGCATATACGAAGAAAAGTAATTTGCAAAAAAAAAGAGCCTTGACCTGAAGATAGGCAGTAGACCAAACAATTCTTATTTTACTGTATTTTAAGCAACTGGAAAACTGGTTTGCTCTAATACTAAAAAGCTGCTAGAAAGTAAGACCACAGAAATAGTTGTTGAGGAACTAAGAGTTTAAAATACCACAATGATTTTACTTAGAAAATTAGTATCATTCTATTTTTACTCTACCATGAAAACACATTTATTTATAAAACATATGTCAGGTTCTGGCAAGCAAAATAAATTACTAAACTATAAATTCCTTAAAGTAGAAACTATGGTCTCACATCTCAGTTTCCATCAGAGCCTAATAGTGGGTTGTTCAAACTTCTGTTCAATGACTGAATCTGAAATCTATTAATGAAATTAGGCAACACTGTCACAAGCATACAATGGAGTTTTTTAAAAGGTAGGTCAAAAGACATCAATGATTTGGGCTAGATACTGAAAGCTACATAAAATCCAAAGATTAGTGTTAAGTTTCAATTGCTAAAGTAAGTTACGGCTGCTTGCTTGGTGTTCTGTAATACAGCCAACTTGTCTAGAACAGAATGATCCTATTTATAAATGAATTTAAAAATACCACTGAAAATAAAGTGAATGAATTTATTTATACTCGCCAGATTACACATTCGACAGATCTGAAATGTTCAGTTTGTAATAAGAGAGAATTACCTATTACTAACTTAGAATCTTACAAGCTGCGTTTGGGATTTGTTCAAAAAACCCTGTTGTACCCAGTTCTTTATACTTTTATATAAAGTATATACTTTATACTTTTGTCATTGATAACTAAACCACAGTTCTATCCTGAGCAGTTATTTTTTTACAACCAGAACAAGTGAGAATAACATACCACTGCAAATAACCATGAATGTTATATATAACTACCTTGTTCAAAGTAAGGCATTTCAAGTTTTAATTAATCCACCAGTGTCTTTTATCAGTTATAATGTATAGTTTAGTATATTCCTATTCTTATGAAATATGCCCTAATTTAAATATATACTGAAACCAAACATAGAATTACATATTTAATTCCAAATTTGGTTAACTTTACCACTACACACTCTGAACCACTGTCTATCAATGTGAACTAAATACTCTACAGATAGAAAACTATCTCTATCTGGGAAAATTGGATATGCAAAGAAGTTTTTTCCTTCCAGATTTATCTAACCTAAATTTATATAGCCTAAATAAATAAGTCATTAGTACCTAAAAAAAAAAAAAAGCCATTAACTTGTCTAATGATTGAAGTTAATTTCATAGCATGTATTTAATCCTCCATGTGTATAACACATACTTATGAAAATAACATTTAAAGGATTGTTTTTAAACAAATACACTATTTCTTGTTTCAACTCCACCTTAATCATCACACACAATTTCCTGTTTTTATTGGTTCATGCACGTACACCTCTTTTAAAAGGCCTATTTTCAAGCAGAAATGAGAGCACGGCACAGTTCTCTGTTAAACTGTTTTGTTGATCAGAACACCAGGATAAGCTTATAGGTTCAATATTCATCTGGTTCATTTAACTTTGAAACAAACTGCCTTCTTAATGAGTCATCTCAAAACTCTGCAAAGGGAATTGGAGAGAGAATGTGTGAATAATTCATTGCAAACTCATAACCACTATTACAGAAATTTAAAACCTTAACGGGCCAATATTATCTCTGTATATGAAAGACCAAAAAGCACATAAAACTACCACTTGTAATCTCCAAATTTCATGCACAAAATAAAAGGAAGAATGCTTCATCTGTCTCAGTAACATATGAAAGTTCAAATATTTTTGTTTAACACTAATCATTTCCACAAGATGTGAATTTGGCACTAAGTCATACAGCAATATATGACATCAGAATGAGCAGAATATAACTTGGAAATATGCCATAACTCTTTTTAAAACTGATGAGTTTAATTTAAAAAGGAACATTAAGAATTAAGTTTATGTTCACAATTTTAAACTCACCACAACATAAACACTTTATATGAGATATTTTAATTGAACTTATAAGAGTATTTTAAAACTGGGAGCTTAGAGGGTTATCTAAAAGGTTCGGTGAACATTTGCTGGGTCCCTAGCATGTGTCAGACAGTGAGTGCTAGGTGACTGCAGCTAACTCAATTACTTCAACTCACTTTATAGATGTTGGAGTTTCCCATTCACATCAGATCAAGTCGTCTAGATTTCGGATCCAGAAATTCTGAATAATGCCCTCAAAGTGGTATAACTTCTATCAAAACAGACTGATATCAACCTCCCTAATAAACTAAGATTTCAAAGATGAAATGCTGACCTTATTTAACAGAAACAACAGTCTGTGTTTTGAATAACTATAATCACAACAATTTAAAAATGCAACTGTGAGAATCCTCAACTAAGGACTAGTTGCATAATTTATTGCAAAGAAGAAAACATGGGGCTGACAGAGCTGTAAGAGTCTGAAGACATACAACACAGAAATCAAACTGCAAATACCATTAAAAAATCCTTTTGTAAGTAAGAGAATAAGAATTATCAATACGAAAAACTAGATGCTTAATTGGAATGCCTTTTTTATATAAAAGATCATCAACTATATACTAACAAAGTTCATTGGTAACAGTAAACACTGGCAAGATTCAAACTTATTTAACTATTATTTAACTATATTCCATTATAATTGTAATGGAATATAAAATTATAATGGAATATAAAACTCCCTGAGGGCAGACACCCTGTTCAGTTCATCTCTGTATCTCCAACAAAATTGGCACCCTGTTGTCAAATGTTGGAGAGGTGAGCTAACATATGAACTCTAAATCCAAGCTACTGAAAAATACAACAATCTAAAATATCTCTTTTAATAGCTCATATTATTTTTTAAAGTATTAAATAATACTCAATGCAAGTGACTTGACATGAAACAAGAACAACTGTGGCTGTCACTTAAATAGTAAAACCTAATCTTTGAAGGAATTCATGGATGCACCAAGATGACAAGGATACTCATATATTTTGATTCAGTAGTCCTTTTTCTGGAAATTAATCCCAAGGAAATATTCCAAAAGAAAGAAAATGTTCTAAACACAAAAGTGTTCATTTCATTATTTTAATGGGGGAAAAGGAAACTATGTATCTGCCCAACAGCAGGTGATGGATTATTTTGCAACCACTAAAAAAGGAGATCAACCTAACTGGTCTTCCTACTTAAACTTTTGCCTCTAAACCCACCCCCAGAAGTTGATTTCACCACAGCAGCCAGAATAATTCTCACAAACTTAAGTCAGAAAGAATTCTCTCTTCTACTGGAAACCCTCCAAAATAGTTTCCCATCTCACTCAAAGTAAAACCCAAAGTTCTTATCATGGCCCAGAAGGTCTTATTGTGTTCTCAGCTACTCTAACCCCAAACTCTTGCTTACCGGCCTCCTTCTACTTGTTCCCCAAAAGGCCAAATATACAGACGGGCCTTTGCACTTGCAGTCCTCTCTGCCTGTAATCTTCTTCCCCAAGAGAGCACACACTTCTTACAGGTCTCTGCTCCAGTCACCAGCCGCATGTCTTTCCTGCCACTGTTTCTATCCCCTCACCCTACTTCACTCTTCCGCATAGCTCTTATCATCTGACATAGTCGGTATTTATTTGGTTATGGCCCATCTCTCCTTATTAGAACAGCAGCTCTGTAAGAGCATGGCCTGTGTCTTATTCACATAACAGGCATTCACACAGCACTTGTTGAATGTTGATAAAATAATTATTAACTACATGAAAAACCATACATATGAACAAAGCTGAGAAGAGAACAGGAAAAATGAAAAGCTTGATTTGTGAACATTTTCAAATACAAGACATATCGCTAAGAAGTTTGTACAATAAAAATCATAAATTAGTCATGATTATGATTTTAAGCTGCCCAAAGTGACTGTAACAATTTTATTTCCTTGGAAGCCATGATGTATTAGTTTAAAACTGACTGGCAAAAGTTATTTAGGACTTTTCACCATAAAACTGTAATAACAATCATTCTTAAATCTTGTTCCTAAAGACCCCAGGTTTAGTCTGTAAGTATAAACACTGTCATTTCTAGGCCGCACAGAAAGTGAATAAAGGCTTTTGAATAGTTTTAACATGACACCAAATAACACTCAGGGATTCCAGTTTACTCTTGAGATAGGTATCCATGACTGGCTTCAGAGGATCTCTGAAACTGAATGAAAAATTTGGGGCATAAATGCCTGTTGTTTTTTTTTTCTGGGGAGAGTCTATATATTTCATTATAATCTCAAAGGTGTCAGTGGCCTAGAGAAGGTTAAAAATTACTGTTTTATATATTAGAAGGCAAATGTAATATTCTAATATGAGATATCTCTCAAAAGGATGGAAGACATAATATCTAGACACATCTTTGGAATATTACAACTCATTCAAGTCTCAAGTGCTTACCGTACACCAGGTGCTGTATGATCCTCACACCTTACACATAACTGTATTTTGTAGTACCTAAAATACTAAAGAAATAAGATTCACTGAAACCCCAGACTAAGAATTTCAACCAACACAAATTTAATTTCAAAACAGAAAGCGTTAAAGGAAATCGTAGTAAAGAAGCCCACAGCCAGCTTTAGTGCTTATAATGTCAAAATAATCGCAGATATCAATTACATCAAAAGAAAAGAAAAATTACAATACGCATGCCCACCCCCACACACTGACAGGAAACCCAAAGAAAGTTTCCAAATCCTGTTTCCGGCAGCATCCCTTCTGAGACTGACATTCAGCATGCTTGTGAAGGTAGGAGCCCCATGTTAAAACTAAGAGCTGATACTTTAACTGTAATAAAAACAGAAGAATCATCATCCCACACCCAGGAGGCAGAAAACTGTGGCCACCGGTAAGGCTATGGCCCATTAACCTCCTGCCCTGTTATTGCCTTTCATTTCTTACACCCTTCTCTCTCCAAAGCAGTGACAAAACTATCTTCCCTCTCAAAAAGGAATACATAACTCCTCAACACTAGTTCTTTTTCAACGCGGTCAAAAGGTCCCCTAAACTCTGGTTCTTAGCCCTGGGAGATACCATTTTTTAGGTACAGATGTCTTCCTCTCATCTTCTCCCCATAGCAGTGAATTACACAATTCAGCTGAAGACACTGTCCTTAACTTCCTGAGTGAGGGGGCAGGCGACACTCCTCCCAGCCCCATTTGAAGGAAGAATCACACGATGACCTCTTCCCTAACAAAATTCAAGGAAGAAGAGAACGCAAGAAAAGCAACGCCGGAAAAGCGAACACATTGGCATGGTAAGGAACACACGGGGAAGGAGGGCGGGAAAGGGGCTGAGAGGTGCAGTGGATTGTAGAGATGTCAGCCCTATACACTAGAGGTAATAAAGGAAGAAAAAGGAAACCCTGAACCCTGACAGAAGTGCACACAGACAGGGCAACCCTCCGTCTATCCTCACCTCTATAGCAGAGGAGGGAGGTCAGAAATTCACCCAACCCTCCAACCCCCTCTTCGCGTGCCCCCCAAAGGGAGGGCTGGATTTGAAAATCTGACCCTAGCCTGGGGACAAGCAAGAGGAAAACGGCAGCGACGTCCAATTTATACCACTCAGGCACTGAGGGCCGAGGGCACTGTGTCCAGGGAGATGGCGAGGGAAATGGGCTTGTGCCATGGCACCTCCGGGAGTTGGAGGGTGGGGGACACAATGTCCTCTTTCTCTCCCACAGCCGGCCCGGGCCCCTCCCGTCCGTCTCCCGCAGGCCCAGCCACAGTCGACCGGCTCGGTCCGCGGGCGTGGTTGGCTCCGGCCCTGGAGGCGGCGGCGGGCCTCCCCGAGCCCTGGCCCCTCCCGCCGGCCAGGCCCCCAGGCCGCCGCCCCGGACACCGGGAACGCGGAGGAGGAAGGGGGAGCCAGGGTACTGACCGGCGACTTGAGCCGCCTCAACCCCGGCGCGGCAGACCCGCGCCCCCCGCTCTCCCTGGGGCGGGCTCGCTCCCGCCCCTCACTCACCCCCCGGGTCCGGCGCCTCCTCCGCCTCCTCCTCCTCCGCCTCCCTCCTCTCAGCCGTGGCTACTGCTCCGGCTCTGCGCGGCGGTGGCGGCGGCAACGGCCTCGAAAGCGGCGACGGCCTCGGGAGCAGCGGCAGCGGCGCCTCCAGAACGCGCACGCACGCAGCACGCAGGCCCCGCCCCTCCGGGTCAGCGCCAGCGAGGTTTCGGCCCCGCCTTCCCCCCGGCGTGCGGGAGTCGGTTTAAAGCAACGGCGGAGGAGAGGGTGGGAGAGCTAAGAACGGTAGAGGAGAGTGGGAGGTTGCGGCTTTGCGGAGGACGGAGGAAGGTGTGTAAGGCAGGAAGTGAAAGGAGGAAGCGTCCGAAGATTCAGGGAGAACAGAATTTTGGAGGGAATGAGACCATTCGACACGTACTAATTGAGCACCTAGTAGATGCGAAGCACTGTACTAGGCACAGGGGATAAAGCCATATGCAAGGAAAAGCCCTCGTGGAGTTTGTATTCTTACGGGGTGGGAGAGAACACAGACAAGTAAACCGAAATTTCAGGTAATGTGAAGTGTGAGAAAAAATAGAGCCGGGAATAGGATAACTTTATAGCCAGTCAGATATTGCCTGCGAGTGCCTACACATATGCTACAAAGGAATGAGCGTAGCAAATACCTGGGGAGGAGGGCAGCCTTTCCAACCTGAAAGAAAATCAGCCACGAGCTCAAAGGTGGGAATACGCCTGGCTTGTTGCAGGAACAGAAAATAAGTATGGTTGAATAGTCAGATGGCCAGAGAGCAGCAGCAGTTGGGCAGAGAGGTGGGAAGTTGCCTGATCCTATGAGCAGTTATAATAGCAATAGAAAGCCATGGGAGGGTGAGTAAAAGCGATTCACACTTTTAAAAGTTATTCTTACTAATACGTGTGAAATACACAGTAGGGTAGCATAGATGTCCCAGGAAGACCAGTAAGTTAGGGGCTGTTTGTGGTAGCTTGGAATAAGATGGCATCAGAGAAGGGGTGAGATACATACAGAGGAGAGCTATTTGGATACATTTTTAATCGGAATGGATTTGACCAAGAGTGTGTGAAGGAGCCAAAAGATCATGGATGATTCTTAGCTTCAGGGCCTGAAGGATTGGCTAATGGTGGTACCATTTAATGAGATGGGGAAAGACTCAAAAACATTTGGGGTTAGGGAAATCAGGAGTTCTGTTTTGTATGTGTTACATACATCAAGTGGAGATGTTAAGTAAACCATTGGGTATATGAGTCTAAAGATATAAATTTGGGATTCCCAGCACATAGAAACTTTTTAAGCCTTCGATATACATAGAATTACTTAGGGAGGGAGAATACCTGGAGGAAAGGACTAAGGAGCTGTAACACTTAGAGACTAATAGAAAACAAGGAGCTAACAGTCTGGTAGAAGGAACACCAAGAGAGGGTGGGGTATTGGAAGAAAAGAGAATTATTTTAGAAAGGTAGGAGTGACCAAATACTGCTGAAATAAGTGAATTGAATACTGAGAGTTTGAATACCAGATTTGGCCTGATGAAGGTTGCTGAAGTCTTGACAAAAGTAGTTGCAGTGGAGTCGGGAGAAAATATGATAAGGATGTGTTAACGAGATTGGGAGGTGAGGAAGAGAGTGTTTATAGAAAGTCTAAACAGTTCTTGAGTTTTCCTGTAAAAAGCAACTGAGAAACAAGCAGTAGCCAGAGGAGTACTTGGGACCAAGGGAGGTATTTTAAGAGGAGATGTTTGCTCCTGTTGGTATGCTGGAATGATCCTTTATAGAGGTGAGGAGATGGTGCAGCAGATAAGAGGAAAGAAAGATTGTCCTTGGGGAGGTGAGAAGCAATGGGACCTAGCACAGAAGTGAAGGAGTTGACCTTGGATAGTAACAAGGATAGTAAGTTCACCCTATTTTTGGAGAGAAGGCAAAGTCTGTGGGTGCAAGTGTAGGTAGGTCAGGTGGTATATTTGGTGGTGGCATGCTCAGGCCACCAAGGAGTGGAAGGGGGCAGGTGGGAGCTGAAATCCAGCTGAAGTCCAGGAGTTCTGCCAACCAAGTTGTAAGGCCACATCAACCTGGAAGAAGGGCACCTTTTCTAATTGCTGCACCTGGAGGAGTGGTGCCTTTTAGCAGTCCTACGCACCATACCACACACACATACCTTTCCCAGAGTGCACTGGGTACTGTATAAGCCTCACTGGGTTGGAAGAGGTAGATCTGGGCTGTGTGCTTTCCTTCACACAAGAAAAAGCTAGTAGTGGGAGGGGCTATTGGCTAGTAAAGGAGATAGGAGGTGAGGAAGAATTTCCTTGAAGGGTGGAACAGTTCCTGGAGAAGTGTAGTATGGACAAAGCTGAGGGCCCTCCAGAGTTGGTCCTATACTTAAAGTGAGACCATTCCAGCAAGGTTGTGTGGTTTTTCTCTAACCACATGCCATTGCTTGAGGGCTGAAAGTTGGATTTTACCAAGGCTGGGTTTTGCTGAAGAAAGTCTGTGTGTGGGGAGGATGTATGCCAGGGAGTGGTTGTAGTGATAGATCTTGCAATTTAAGCTGGGAAGGAAGAGAAAGCAAGTTAAAAAAAAGCTATGGGGTCCATGGTTTGGTGGTCCCTGTGGAAAAGAATAGTTCAAGAGGAAGCAATCAAATAAGTGGGGCAAGGAGATTTTCCAAGAATCGAGTATGGGAAAGGGTGAGCAAGGCAGCTGGGAGAGAGGAAGTCAAGGTATCTGAGAATATAGGGTGCAAGCAGGCCCATGGAGCTGAAGAAACAGCAAAGCCCTCAGGCTCTGGCTCTCTTGGCACTGAGTGAGCCATCGGTCTGGGAGAGGCTGAGTGAGCTGTGAAAGCTGGGGAGAGACTGAGTGCAGGAGGAGATAAGCCCACGAGATCCTTCAGGGTCCCTTTACAAGCCTCGGGAGAGCCCACTGGGTGCTCTGCTTTACCTGCTCTTTCCTTTCCCTGCAGACTCCTGAACATTTGTGCAGACAATTTACCCTGCCCGGCATTGGACAGAAACTGAAAGACATCTTTCCTACTAGACATAACTCCTCCTCAACCCTTCCTCCTCCTCCTGAATTGCCCTTTTCTGCTCAAGGTACTACCTTTCTGAGTTACTGGACCACCAAACTTCAGCTGCCTTTAATTTGTCTTCCCCATCCTTTTACCCACTGAGTCCTCAAAGTGTAGCACTGCATTGTTCAACAGAACATTCTGCCATGATGGAAATATTCTTTATCTGCATAATCCAATGTATCAGTCACATGTGGCTACTAAGCACTTGAAAGGTGGCTTATATGACTGAAGAACCAGCTTTAAAATCCAATTTTAATTAATTTAAATTTAAATAGCCCCATATGGCTGGGAGTTACTATATTGGGCACACAGTATAGATCCTTTCGACACAATATCTCTTCCATCTGTCCCTTTCTCTGTAGCTCCATTGCCCCTCCCCTTGGTCAGGTACTGACCACCTCTAGTCTAGACCTTTGCTGTAGTCTCCTATTTGATCTTTTGCTTAGTTGCTTTCCCTTCAGTCCATCTGGTGTTCTTCCCAGTACCATCTCTCTAAAGCAGTGGCCAGATCACAACTCCACCATATATTAAAAATTAGTAGTAGTTCCCTGTCAAGTCAGACACAAACTATTTAATCTGGCATTTGCCCTGTTATGTGTCCCCCTCTCATTTTTCTAGCCTTACCTTGCACTGCATTCTTACGTACAGAGAGCTGGATCTCAAGCAAAATTAAACTACTTGCCGCAATTCCTACCAACCTTTTACAAAGGAACCAACTAGTTTTCCTACATTGTCTCTGCCCTGGAACAGTGCCTCTGATCCCCTCTTCCAAACCCCAAATCTGTTGAAATCCTTGAAGGCCTGTCTCATATTGGAGCTCCTACCTGAAATCTTTTCTGACTTTGACTCTCTTCTGAAATCCCACGATTTCTGTTTTTACCTCACCTGTGGCACTTATATGCTGTCTTGTCCTATATTTTGTGTATTCATTTTATTCCTGTTACAACATACCACTTTTTGCAGATAACTGTATTATAATTAAGATAGTGCCCCTTGCAGTGTATCTTGTACCTTATAAATACACAAGATACTTCGCAACTAGCCACTGCAGTGACTTAAACACTTTCATGGAATCTGAACAGTCATGCCTCTCTCTAAGAGTAATATCACTAGTCCTCAAAGACAATGTCTTCATACCCTGAGGAAAACAAAAAGAAAAAGAAGCAGAGGCCCAAAAAGCAATTATTTCATGGCACTCCTGTTACAAC